ATCTGTCGTCTCAGCCCCCTTAAAACTATAATCAGCTGTCTGAACGATTGGGCCAGTTTATCATTCTCACATGTTTTAAGTCAGTTTAAACATTAAAGTGATTTAAGCCATTCAAGCGCAAGACAGCGCGAAAGAGATCTCAATGCGGTTTCAATTCAATATCTCAATTCATCCACGGCTGGGCCGAAAAATACCTTTGGAGAGACTGGGGAGTCAAGGAAGGCGACCCCGTCAGCGTCCCTGATCTCCAATTAAGCCAAAGGTGGCGCTCCAGCACCACCAAGTTGGCCATGGCCTTGCCGATTACCTGCGCAGTTGCCTTTGTAGCACGCATAGCCAGATCAGTCGGTGTGCGCAGCTCTTTGAAAGGGCTCAGGATTCGGTCCAGACTCATACATGCCACGGAGGAGTTTGGCCTGAAACACCTGTAGCACCACCTTTTTTTCTGAGAGTGTACAGCTAGCAGCAGGCTGAGCTTCTTTGCTTTGGCTTCTTGCTTCAGAGTCCGGCGAGGAGATGTCTTCGTCGCCGAAGGAGAAAAGGTCTGATGAATGGCGCTCTGAGCCGACTTATGTAGTAGTCAGTTCTTCCCTTTTGGCGAGTTGAAGCGCCATTTTTTCATGCTGGTACACGAACGTGAACAAATCAGGCTTCAGTATCAGAATAAACAGGAGTTTCTCCATAAGCGGGTATACGCGATGGGAGAGACCGTTCGAAAGGTAAACCCTTTATTTAGAACCTTATGACATTTTATTTTGTTTTCAAAACCCATATTTTTCCTGAAAAACAATTTATTATTAATAATTAATTAATTGCATTATTAATCTTTTAATTATTTTAGCAAAGTTTTATATTCATAAGACAAAAATAACTCAAAAGAAACCACCACATATTACCTTTTGTAACACTGATCTTAAAATATATGAAACCCTTTCTAAAATGAGATCACAAAACAAGAAGCTTATAAAAACAATAAACATTCTAAAGCTTTTCAAATGTATGTAACTGCCTTAATATTATATAGCACTTTTTTATCGTATTTTTTTTCTCTTTTTTTTTTTTTATAATATGTTTATGTTCATTTTATGTTTTTGTTGTTGTTGTTATTCTGTTTTACATGCTTTAAACTATGACATTGCCTTATATCTGCCTTGCACTTTTTGCCTTGTATTTGAATGTGATGGAACTAAATAAAATGTAAAAAAAGAAAAAAGGAACAGTCATGTCTCAGTCGTGTTTGCGTCGTTGTGAGGATTGTTTTTGTTCAAATAATTTCAAAGAAACTGGAGAAATTTTATATCAAAGAAACTGGAGAAAATTTATATTTGTGTACCAGATACTATTCATTGGAATTAATAGTTTTAAACGATTATGATTTTACGTTTACAAATGTCCCAGTGAGATCAAAAACATCCAAAGATTTAATGCGGCGATAGATAAAGACTATAGATATAGGCTCCACAGAAAATTTGCCTTGCTGAGCCTCCATGCTTCCCCTGCAGGAGTAACAGTTTGTGTACTGTAAAAAACATGCAGAGTGTTCTACTTTTTATCCTTTTTTATTATATCTAAAAATGTTGTTGCAACTCCTGCATACTTTGAACCACAGTCATAGGCTACTTGTTTCATAACCTCCATGTTTCATGAGAAAATAATGCGACATTCATCGGCTATTATTCAACATCTAGTAAATGATTGCAGAATTTAGACTCCTTTGAACAAACCTAAAATCCTTTTCTTTATTTGTAGGTCACAATGGCCTTATTGCTGTAAGTAAACACCAAATGTGTTCTCGTGTGTATGCCCAGTTGCACAACAGTTTCATCTATAGAAACCACCTGTTGTGATTTGCCCAGTCAGCATATCTGCAGAAGGGAGGCCTGAAAACAGCAGTCCTGGAACGTAGACATGTGCTCGGAGGAGCAGCTGTATCTGAAGAGATTATTCCAGGTGTGAGTTCAGGTTTATCACCTAGACCATGGTTCTCTGAATCCCCTACAGACTGGCCAAAGATCAGTTTCTCAAAGCACTCTGTTATCATCATTAATTAGAAATTCAGAACTGATATAGTACGTAGTCTAAGCATTTTAAGTGTAAATTGCTGATTGACCCTTAAAATTCATCTGTGAATCAGTGTAGTTTGCCTGTTGATTTCAGGGTTCCACTTTTCCAGGGCCTCCTATCTGCTCAGTTTACTGCGCCCACACATCTACCAGGACCTGGAGCTCAAGGTGATGTTCATATTGATGTTACATGCCCGATTCTCTCTTTCGTTCTTGTTTAAAACGGATCGGCTCCCCTTTAACTATCTCTCAAGCAAAATGTTGTACCTCAGACGGACCTGACAAACCTTGTGAAAAAGAAGTACACTAGAATACTTTTGAATTGCATGTTTTTTTGTTGTTGCAATAATTACATATTATCATTTAAATTTAATATTAAATGCAAGTTTTTTTTTCCATAAGTAGGACTTAAGTACATCTTTATACCCTATACCATACCGTTCACCCTTTGTACACTACCGTTCAAAAGTCTGGGATCAGTAATATTTTTAAGGTTTTTTTTTTTTTGAAAGAAATTAATACTTTACTCAGCTTTATTTTACTTTATTGTTAAACTGATAAAAAGTGATAGTAAGTAGACTGATATTGTTACAAAGATTTCTATTTTGAATAAATTATGTTCTTTTTAAATTTTTTATTCATCAAAGAATCCTGAAAAAAGTATCACAGGTTCCAACCAATTAATACATAAGCAAACAAATAAACAGCACAACTGTTTCCACCATTGATAATAAATCATCATATTAGAATGATTTCTGAAGGATCAGGTGACAGTAAAGACTGTAGTAATGGCTGATGAAAGTTCACACAGAAATAAATTATATTTAAAGTATATTAAAATAGAGAACTTATTTTAAATTGTAATAATATTTTACAATATTATTGTTTTTGGTGTATTTTTGATTAGATAAATGCAGACTTGATGAGCATAAGAGACAAGTTTGGACGGTAGTGTAATTTCATAATTACTTCTGTTGTCTTTGAAATATGTTTGTATTGCCAAGTGTACTGACAAGCATTTATGGTAAACTAAAATATACTTAAATGTCATTTCTTTTGAAACTTGTACGTCATGTATTGAAATATATTTGTAATTACACATTTGTAATAATGAAGTTGCAATTTAGTTTAATTTAAAATATATTAACTTTAAATGTAATATTGAAAAACACTACAGTTATGTAATCAAGTACTTTAGTTGTTAGTTAACACATTAAAGCAAACAAATAAACAGCACAACTGTTTCCACCATTGATAATAAATCATCATATTAGAATGATTTCTGAAGGATCAGGTGACAGTAAAGACTGTAGTAATGGCTGATGAAAGTTCACACAGAAATAAATTATATTTAAAGTATATTAAAATAGAGAACTTATTTTAAATTGTAATAATATTTTACAATATTATTGTTTTTGGTGTATTTTTGATTAGATAAATGCAGACTTGATGAGCATAAGAGACAAGTTTGGACGGTAGTGTAATTTCATAATTACTTCTGTTGTCTTTGAAATATGTTTGTATTGCCAAGTGTACTGACAAGCATTTATGGTAAACTAAAATATACTTAAATGTCATTTCTATTTAATTTACTTCTTTAAAGCATGAACGAAGATTATTAAAACAATAATTTAAAATGGTCTTATAAAAGTAATGCTTTTAATCTGACATTATTACATACTTTCTAAGTGTGTTAAGAAACATTAAAGTGTACTCTCTTAGTTTCAGAGAGTTTTAGTTTTATTTCATTATCTGCAATTACACTTTTTTAAATATACTTTTAAGATGTGAAGGGCACTACAAGTGCACATTCCGTACACTTCTTTTCCACAAGGAAAAGAAACAAGTGGCAGATGATTTATTACTTTTTTCCTTTCAAGCTAAAATGACAGCAGTTCTCGACAGTGTGTCTTTCTGTGCAGAAACACGGCCTGAAGGTTTACATGAGGGACCCCTATTCATTTACCCCCATGTTGGAGGATGCAAGAGGGCGGCCACCGCGGTCTTTAACGCTTGGAGCTGACCTGGCAAAGACCCAGCAAGAGATTGGCAAATTCTCAGAGAAAGATGCCAAGGTTCAATGCCACTGACAAGAGGAATTAGATTTTTTGCAAGAGCACTTTCATAAACTTGCATGTGACACTAGAAACACAATACTGTGAAAACTGCCTACACACCCTTCTACCTCAGATAATGAACTAAATATACATAATTTATATGATTTAATAAGTTACATTTTTAAATTTTTTCTCTATGTCCTATCACTAAAGGTCTATCCTGATTTTTTATCTTATTTGGAAAGACTGGCCTGTGCCATCCACCCTCTTTTAGACGCTCCACCCGTTGACATACCAGGACTGACTCAGGGCTCTTTGAGAAAGAAAATATCTGCCCTGAGGAGCTTGAAACCTTTGGTGAAGTCTGGTAATGATACTTCATGGTTATATAACACATGATAAACCAAATTTTCCTCAATTGTTCTGCTGCTGCAGCTGACATAAGACAGAGAGTCTTATAAGAATAGGACTTAATAACTGAATAACTTAATAAAACTTAATAATGACTTAATAATAGGATAAAACTGATACATAAAAAAAAATCCATGTGCTTCTATGTTTAAAGGGTTCAAGTTGGGAAAGAATATACCAGATTTCTATGAACTTGTTACAGCTCCAGTTATGAAGGTGGGTTATGCCCCCTGCCCTTGACAGAAAATAAATACTTGGCATTTTTGAATATATTTGACAGAATAAGTATCAGACCCCCTGAAGGTCAATCCAAGAACAATTTCTTGATCATCTTTGATCAAAATTGACTGCAAAGAAGCCAAACAAGAAGTAAAACTAATAGTGGCCTGAGGGTCTCTTTGAAACTTTGGGACTCTGCCCCCTAGGGGTCAAGCATTGAAAATTATTTGCAATGTAAATTTGTTCAGTATCCAGATAATGCATTCAGTTCTTTTGTCCTCTGATTTTTGGATTGTGTTCAAGTTAAAACACATCTGCCACTGTAGAGCTTGGCAACTTTATTGCTGCTTGCATCCACACTGAAAGTAAAAAGCTTAGAATAATTTAGATTTTTTAAAATGTTTTTGAAAAAAGTGTCTTATGCTCACCAAGACTGAAATGGCTACTGAAAAGACAGCTGTGCCATCACAGGAATAAATTACATTTCATAATATATTACAATAGAAACAGTTATTTGGTTCAATTCACATTTATTTATATAGCGCTTTTCATGATGCACATCGTTGCAAACCAGCTTCACAGAAAAAAGTTATTTTAAATTGTAATAATGTTTCACAATATTACAGTTTTTACTGTATTTTTGATCAAATAAATGAAGCCTTGATAAGCATAAGAAATAAAATCATAAAAAATCTTTAAAAAATACACATTAAAATATGAATCAATCATTTTCAGCTTTATGAGCATTGCCTAAGAACTGAATTATTTGTGAGTTTGAGAATGTGATTCATGACATGAACACGGCATTAGAAGCCTTCTTGTTTGAAATTTCAGTTTTAAAGTCTTTTTTTTTCTGTAGGTGCTCAATCGCTGGTTTGAATCCGAGCCGTTGAGAGCCACATTAGCCACTGACTCTGTGATTGGTGCAAACACAAGCCCAAATAATCCTGGAAGTGGGTGAGGATAGTTTGACTTTTATGTGTTCGAACAGATCCAGAATATCTTGTGCTTGGTGTTGTGGATAATGTATGCTTAATCTTGTAGATACGTCCTGCTGCACCATGTCATGGGTGAGCTGGAGAAAGAGAAAGGTGCCTGGGGTTACGTGGAGGGAGGAATGGGTGGAGTGTCTGAATCGATCGCCCGCTCCGCCCGCTCTCTCGGAGCAGATATTTTTACAAACAGGGTTAGTATTCAGGAAGAAGGTGTAACCGTTTTCTCAAGCCATTGTTTCTGTGCATGGCACATTCATTCAAAAGAACCGGTTGTTTCACGGATATTAATCTGTCGGGGCCTGCAGGACGTTAAACAGGTCCTTATTGGTCAGGATGGTTCTGCCAAGGGCGTTGTGCTGACAGACGGAACCGAAGTCCATAGTAAAGTGGTTCTGTCCAACGCCACTCCCTACATCACCTTTAAACAGCTCACACCACAGGTACAGACCTGAAGTCCCAAGACCATGTCAGTTCAGCTCATTTTTAGATGTTTGAAAGTGATGTAGAGCATTTGCTTTTATGTCTGGGTCATTCATTCACAGTTAATGTCATCCTAATTCTGTCAACACTTTGTTGTGGCCTTGAGCTAGTGTCATTTTATCTGTGTTTACTGAAGGAGTGACCCCATTCTTTGACTGACAACACTGTCCACATGTGAATTAGTTCAGTTTAAAGTAGGATTATATATCTCTAAATGAAAAAAAAAAAGAATTCCATTGGACCTATTTTTATTAGTCCAATGTAAAAACAAAATAATGTGGAGAAATGAACAACCGTTTTACTTAAATGTTAATGACAATTCTGAATAATTGATGTCTGTGGTTGTTCCGGTAAAGGATGCCCTGCCAGAGGCATTCATCACGGCTGTAGATCAGATTGACTACACCTCTCCTGTTACCAAGATAAATGGTAAGATTACACAGAATTTAATTTAATTTCATCAAACTAAATGTGCATTTCAACAGTGCTTGCAAAGCAGCAAAAGAAGAGTGTTAATATTTAAGGCTTTGGTTCTGTGTAAGGAACTTTTAGCGTTGTCTTGACACTTAATAAGCAAGCAAGATAAGACCAAAGAATTCATAATGCTAATATGAGCATCAACATTTCCCAGCTGGAATTCAGAGTCCAAAATTTTATGACATCACTGTCATTAATTTTAAATGGTGGACATTTAGTAATTTTAGTAGTAATTCAATAATTTAATGAATAATTCAGTAATTAAAATTACTTAAATCATTTAAAATAATGAATAAAAAAACAAAACTCGGAAATTATCTACAAAACAAAGTTTAAATGGAGTCTGTATGTTAAGCATTTTGGTCTAATTTAGTTGCTGCACTGCAAAAAATAATTTTCTTCCTCAGTATTTTGTCTTGTTTTTCAGTACAAATATCGAAACATTACTAAATCAAGATACAATTACGTAAGTGTTACGGAAGGAGACTCACACAGAGGGTTAGAATGATTTTCAGCAAGTGAAGCAGAGGGTACGGGCAGGCGAGTATAAAGTCAGTTAGGAAGTCCTTTGGGTAGATGAGGAGAGATAACTCTAGTATGGGGATTCCCAGGAGATCGTGGAAGGGAGACAGAGGATAGCACACACCTCAGACGATGAGTGACGGGGTAGCCACGGAGCAGGGGACTGGAACGAACACTGGAGGAAACAGAGGAGGTAAGTACAACTGGTAGGTAAGTCTTTCAATGAATCTCACGGATATCATAGAGAGAGTCCACTTCGTTGGAATGAGATCGGACACTGGAGTGGTGTGAGGTGTGTGCTTATGAATGGGAGCTGAGGGTGATTGTTGATCCGTGACAGGTGCGTGTGATTAGAACTCAGGTGATGGTGTTCGGTCAGTTAGGAAGTCCTTTGGGTAGATGAGGAGAGATAACTCTAGTATGGGGATTCCCAGGAGATCGTGGAAGGGAGACAGAGGATAGCACACACCTCAGACGATGAGTGACGGGGTATCCACGGAGCAGGGGACTGGAACGAACACTGGAGGAAACACAGGAGGTAAGTTCAACTGGTAGGTAAGTCTTTCAATGAATCTTACGGATATCATAGACAGAGTCCACTTCGTTGGAACGAGATCGGACCCTGGAGTGGTGTGAGGTGTGTGCTTAAGGGTGGCTGATGATGGCAGATTAGTGACAGGTGCGCGTGATCAGTATTCAGGTGAAGGTGTTTGCTGTGATTGGGAGGTGGCTGAGTCTGGCCGATCTGTGACCGTACTCCCCCCTCCCGAAAGGCACGTCCCGCACGTAACAATTCCACTGGGGAGCAGGTAGTCCAGGAGGCCATGGCGGAGCAGACAGTTCGGGCCGCCATGTCGGAGCAGGTAGTTCAGGCCGCCATGGCGGAGCAGGGGACCCGGGAGGCCATGGCGGTTCCTCCGTGACTTTGGCCGGCTCGGCCACAGGTATATGGCCCCCCCCAAAATCTTCTTGGGGAAATCTAGGAATCCTGGGGTTCGCTCAGGAGGAGCGGGTTCTGGTGGGCGCTCTGGAGGAGCGGGCTCTTGAGCGGGCACTGGAGCGAGCTCTGGGGCTGGGGCCAACCCTGGAGCGAGTTCTGGGGCTGGGGCCGACACCGAGCAGAACTGGGGATCAGGAGCCCTTCCCGGGCCGAACTGGGGACCTGGAGCCCTTCCCGGGCCGAACTGGGGACCTGGAGCCCTTCCCGGGCCGAACTGGGGACCTGGAGCCTTTCCCGGGCCGAACTGGGGACCTGGAGCCCTTCCCGGGCCGAACTGGGGACCAGGAGCCCTTCCCGGGCCGAACTGGGGATCAGGAGCCCTTCTTGGGCCGAACGCGGGAACAGGAGCCCTTCCTGGGCTGAACGGGGAAACAGGAGCCCTTCCTGGGCTATCCACATTAACGCTTGGCTGACTTGACTGGGGAACTGCCGGCTGCCTTGGGTAAGCCGTGGACGGCGGCAGGCCTGGGTGAACTGCGGACGGCGGCGGACTGGTTCTGGCTCGGGACCGGACACTCCCCAGACACCGGAAGACACCTTCCCTCCAACTTAGCCCAGTGGTGTCTGGGAGGTCCACGGGGCGATGGTAATTGCCCCCCCGAGTCAGAACAGCTGATTAAGGACGGCGTCCTCTAACGCAGTCACCGCGGTGAGCCTGCAGAACTCCCCGGCGTACTCGTAGAAGGGGAGATCCCAGCAAGCGAGGACGGAGAGCCACGCAGCAGATTGCATGCCGTGGGGAGAAACGGGGACAAAACAAAAAAACTTTTAAAAAACGGAACTAAAACGGGGACAGGGGACGCTTACTTCTTGCTGAATCCCTTTAAGGTCCGATCTTCTGTTACGGAAGGAGACTCACACAGAGGGTTAGAATGATACAATGTTATTTATTTTCAGCAAGTGAAGCAGAGGGTACGGGCAGGTATAAAGTTAAAGTTAGTTAGGAAGTCCTTTGGGTAGATGAGGAGAGATAACTCTAGTATGGCGATTCCCAGGAGATCGTGGAAGGGAGACAGAGGATAGCACACACCTCAGACGATGAGTGACGGGGTATCCGCGGAGCAGGGGACTGGATCAAACACTGGAGGAAAGTTCAACTGATAGGTAAGTCTTTCAACGAATCTTACGATAGAGAGAGAGTCCACTTCGTTGGAACGAGATCGGACCCTGGAGTGGTGTGAGGTGTGTGCTTATGAAGGGTGGCTGATGATGATGGCAGATTAGTGACAGGTGCATGTGATCAGTATTCAGGTGAAGGTGTTTGCTGTGATTGGGAGGTGGCTGAGTCTGGCCGATCTGTGACAGTAAGAAGCAAAATGTCTTTTTTTTTTTTTTTCTTAAAATTATCAAAATTAAGTGACTTTACACATATAAAAAAATTCTGCCAATGGGATAATAAACTAGTTTTCCCTTTAAATTAAGTTTATTTTTCTTACTGAATTGACAAAAAATTTTCTTGTTTTAAGCATGAAATCACTTATTCTTGATTATTATTTTTATTGGCCTAATATCTCAAGTAATTTTGCTTCTCCAGTAAATGTTTTTATGATTTATGGATCTTTAGATATTTGTACTTGAAACAAAACAAAAGTACTGAGGAATAAAATAATGATAATTTCTTCTCATTTAAAAAAACTGGACATTTTGAATGTTCAGAGAACATTAAGAAATAACGTTTTCATAACTTAATGAGAACATTAGCAAAACATTCTTAGAACATACTTTTGTTAGCTGGGGTGCTGCCTTGCAAGAAGTGTAATTAATGGAGTTCAATTAGTCTTTTTCCTGTACATTTTTTTAATTGTAATAATCTGTCTCTGTCCTTTGCAACTGAACAGTGGCTTTAGACAAGTTGCCTAATTTCTTGGCTGCACCGAATAGTGCAGATGGAAAACCAGGTCCACATCATCAGTGTTCAATCCACCTGAACTGTGAGAGTATGGAGGTGCTGGAGGAGGCCTACAGGGAGGGCCAGCAGGGATACCCGTCCTCCAGGTTGGCAAAACCTGCTGTTGTGCTTATAATGGAACAACTAATATTTGCACATTACACACATGAAGGCATCAGGACGTCTGAATTTGCAAGTCATGACCAGAGTTTCACAGACAACACATCTGTTGCCCGTGGACAGGGTTTATGGTGATGGTTTTCCATTCAATGCACCAAACCACAGCGATTTACAGATATCCTGATTCATCTTCTGGTGGTTTTGTGTAGGCCTATGATAGAAATGACCATTCCCTCAGTGCTGGATCCGACTCTAACGCCCCCCGGCTGTCATGTGGTGTCTCTCTTCATCCAGTTTACGCCATATTTGCTGGAGGGTCGCCGCGCTTGGAACGATGAGGACAGGGAGAGATTTGCTGACACAGGTACCTAGTGTTCTATTTGCATTTTTTTGTGCTGTTTGTGCGCACAGGTATTATAAGCCTTGTGTTTGTAAAAGGTCTTGGAGGTTTTTCAAAGTGTAATCCAAACAGGTTCAATGAGTTCAGCATGTCATAGACAGCAGTGCGTGAATTATACAGTGACTTATATATTAGTATCAGTCAGTCACACACACACACACACACACACACACATATTATAACTATAATATATAACCGTTTTTGAAAGAAGTCTCTCAGAATGGATGCATTATTGACCAAAAAATACAGTAAAACAGTAATATTATGAAATATTATTACAATAAAAAAAAACTGTTTTATATTTTAACATACATTAAAATGCAATTCATTCCTTTGGCAAAGTTGATTATTATTATTTTTTTTAAAAGATACTCCAGTTTTCAGTGCCACATGATCCTTCAGAAATCATTCAAATATGCTGATTTGCTGATCAAGAAACATTTATTATTATCAATTTTGAAGACAGTTTGTGCTGTCTAATATTTTTGTGGAAACCATGATAAACTACCTTTCAAAAGTTGTGTAAGTGGGTTAGATTTTTTAAACTTATATTCACCATGGATGCATTAAATTGACCAGAAGTGACCATAAAGACACGTTTAATGTTACAAAAGATTTCCATCTCAAATAAATACTTTTCAACTTTCTGCTCAAATAAAACTGAAAAAAAAAGAATCACGATTTCCACAAAAATATTAACCATCAAAAACTGTTTTCAACATTTACACAAAAAAAAACTATTATTAATAATAAAGCACGAAATCAGCAAACTGCAATAATATTTCACAATATTACTGTTTTTTAATATAATAAATATAAAATATTACATTTGTAATTCAAGAAAGACTTGTTTCACGAGCTTTTAAAATATGCAAGTTTATGCTAAGTGTATGCATTTCTTTACAACCCCCTAACATTAGGTGAACCAAACCCTTCCACCCCGGTAAACCATCCAAAAATTCACACTCTGATAGATGGGCAGGCCATGAACGAGTCACTTTTGAACACAGTGACAATGTTTGTGCTACCGCAGTGATATCACATGCCTCAAAGTAATAAGATCTTTGTTGTAATTGGTCCTTTGTTTCCTGTTTCACAGTATTCGACTGGGTTGAGCATTACGCACCTGGATTTAAAAAGGCTATAGTGGGCAAAGACATCTTGACTCCTCCTGATCTTGAGAGGGTCTTTGGTCTCACTGGGGGGGTATGAATATTTAAATTTAATAAACATGGACTTTTTGTACCCTCATAACTTTTTTTTCACAGTCATACAGAATCTAATAACTGATTTTGACATTTATTCGGAAGTTAATTGTGGTATATTTGCACGTCGTATCATTCCAAACATTCATTACATGCATTTTTTTATGCCACAGAATATATTTCATGGCTCAATGTCTTTGGATCAGCTTTACCTGGCGAGACCTTTGCCCTCTGTCGCAGACTACCGCTCACCAGTCAAAGGACTGTACTTATGTGGCAGTGGCAGCCATCCAGGTTTGTGCCTGAATAAATAAAAGCTAAAACAGTACGTATTGGGTTTAGAAATGTCATCAGTGTGATATCATGTTTCATAAAACCAGGTCAGGTAAATGTTGAGCTTGACGTGCATGACCTCCCCTGTGTTTTCCAGCATTTATGTGAGTTTGTCTCATTCAGGTGGAGGCGTTATGGGTGCAGCTGGCTGGAATTCAGCTCTCAAAGTTCTAGCAGATTTCAAGCGACTGTGATCTTGGCCTTCAGTGGGGAATATCATTTTCCAAAGAGATATTTTAATGAAAAGAGAGATGAAGACAAATAATAAGTGTTGTTAACATTGTATGTGTTTTCTTCTATATTTTTAACACTCCCATAATCTGTTCCTAAAATATGACGTGTATTTTTCAGTGAAATTTTAATAAATGTAAATTAATTCATAGACCTTAGTCAGGGTAGCGCTATATTTGCTTTTTGACAGGAATGAAAATGAGTTGTGAGGGACTGAAGTACAGTGTTTTCAATGGATTCTGCTGTGGTATATAATAACATACTAATTGTTCAGCTGTCGAAACGTCTTTCAGAAAAAAGTAGACAAAAACCTCAGAAACTATTTTGTGAATTGTAATCATTACATGATCTAGGACCATAATACAGTGTGTGCCATTGTAAAGACTGTAAATCTATCCCTCACAGCCTCGTTTTTTTATCTGTGTTAAATTCAATATGGTGTCTAACCAGACTAAGGAATAGGCTACTTTTGCAGGTTTTGTATAACTTGTGATGGACCGTGTGACTAGAAACCACACTGAATGTTCTCACAAAAAGCTGTGACATTGTTTTGAGAATAAATAACTCATTTGGTGCTATGAAAGTGGGCGGGTTTTTGAAGCTTTATCGTTTTTATTTTTATTTTTTCTTCTAAACACTTTTTAGTATTTCTCTGTGGTGATGCTAGTAGTTCAGAACTGCAGAATTCACCTTTAGTAAATATATTACATAAAATAATATTAGAAGGATTTCTATAATGCAAATAATTTATCAATTTACATAAATTACAGCACTCACACACACTCTAGAAAAAGAAACAATTTAAGACTGTTCCTCATAGCATGCTAACCTGTGTAAAACTATTCCTGCAGTATATACAGTAGTATGTAAACTGTGCACAGTATGCAAATTTTCTGCATTCATTGAAGCCGGGGTGACCTACTACAGTACATATGCCAAATGTGCAGTATATAACAAAGCACTCTAATTTCCATTTCCAGTGTGATGAAAAGTATAGCCATGATTTTTAACATCTCTTGATTAACTAATTTCATTGAATTGCCAAAAGCTACAATGTAGTGAATAAACAAAAATGCAAAATAGATTTTATTGATGGTAACTGGATTACGATACAACTTAAAAGGAATAGTTCACCCAAAAATGAAAAGATTTGAGAATTGCTGAAAAGATATAGGCCATCCAAGATATAGAAGATATAGAGTTTGTTTCTTCATTGGAACAAATTTAGAGAAATGTCATTACATCACTTGCTCACCAATGGATCCTCTGCAGTGAATGGGTGCCGTCAGAATAAGAGTTCCAACAGTTTAGAAAAAATTGCAGTAATCCACAAGTAATCAACGCAACTCAAATCCATCAATTAATGTCATGTGAAGTGAAAAGCTGTGCGTTTATAGGAAACAAATCTCTTATTAAGGCGTTTTAGTCCATAATCAATAATTATGCTTCCTCCAGTAAAAAAAATCCATCCGCTGGCCTGTCACATTAAAATTCACCGACATATTTGTTTAGAACAGTTTTGGACTATTTTTGCTTGCAAATGGTGATCTACATATTTCTCTCCTGATTCAGACAAGACGACATTTTCACTGGAGAAAGCAATGTTTTAAGTAGAGGACTTGTTTGAAAAATAAAAATTAATTAATTAATGAAACCTTATTAATGTTGAATTTGTTTATTACAAACACCCAGCTTTTCGCATTATAATATAACACACTTTATAATATATAATCTTATAATATATAATTTTTAGATCATAACATACTTTATGCCATAGAGAGAAGAGTGTGGCTTCAGAACACGATGGCCCCTGCGGCCCTTTAAGACGCTCGTTTTGGGAGGCGCTTGAGTTCAGTTCAACACACCCGCCTGACGCTCCGCTCGACGCCCAGAAAGAGAAACCACACATCTGTCGCCGCAAGTTTAAATATGACGATTCATTTGTTGTTTTGACGTGTATTTTGTCGTGTTTACGTTCCTGTAGCGGTATTGAGGGTAATAATGCTGGATGGTTGGACTAATGAAGTTCAGTTTGGATTTCTGCCGGTTACTGGGGCTCAGCGGTGAGTTTCACTACATGGAAACTTTGTTTCTGTCTGTCCGAGTTATAAAGTAAGTTTTCCATGAATCAGAGCCGTAAAACACACGACACATTGCGCTTATCTCACCTTAACGCGCTTTAGTGACAGTGATATATTGTTTAATTATATCAGTCAGTTTTGTATAGATATAAAAATGTATCAAAGATATCATGATGTCAATTATGCAAATGTTGTTTAACTACACGTAACTGCGGTTGTCAACCGGATAGATGATAATTGTTTCCAAACCTTAAAATCCGTCAAATCCATATTTAGTGTTCAATACAAAAATATTAAGAAAAATAATTAGTAAAATAAGTATAAGATTCTATGTGAGGCTTTAGTTTGGTTTATTCATTGAAACTAATTCAAATACTGAAGAAATCACATGCAACAGGCCTGCGAATCAGAGACACTAAATCTGATTTTAACTGCTGATCATTTCCTGTTTGAGTGTGTTTTTGAACGTTTACAAACCGATTCAGATTGCATCCTAAAGTAGTGATAATTTGTAATAATTTCAGTAGGATTGCCTCAAAGGTTGCCTCAAGTCTAAAGGCAAACATGTTTTTTTTTTGTTTTTTTTACAGTTATAAACATAAAGGTTCTTTAGTGTTTCTTAACAACAATACGCAACAAACTTTCTTATCAAGAACCATTTAGGAATTTCAAGTTACCCCTGTGGTTCTTTGGAAATTTAACAGAAGCTCTTAATCTTGAAAATACAAGCTTGTAGCATTATTTGGAACATGATTGTTGGTTTTTATCTAATCTAAGCTGGTATATCATCTTGCTTAAGGTGGGCAAGATGGTTTATGATACATGTTGCTGACTGACCAGCTAGTAGTCCTATAGAAACCTCTTAAAGGGGTCATGAACTGAGAAATCAAAATTCCCTTGATCTTTTGACATAAGAGATCACTGTACTATAAAAACATCCTGTAAGTTTCAGAACTCAAAACGTTCTCGTTAGTCTAAAAGCAGCTTATATTGAAGCCAATCTGCCTAAATGACAGCTTGTGGAATGTGCCACTTTATGATGTAATAGTGTGGCTAAACCCCGCCTCCGCAGAAGATCAATGCCTGCTTCTACAGCACTGCCTGTTTAGCTCTGCCCACCGATTTGTGCATGTTGTAAGTAAATAACGAGAGAGGCAAACGCAGGTTTATGCAGAAATCAAACGATAAAGGGACTCAGAAGACAACAAGACTCTGTGCAGTGCAAAGTTGTGAAAAAAACACAGTCTTTGCATTGCCTTCCTTCTGATCCCAATATTAGGAAAGAGTGGATGAACTTTATTTTTAATGAAGATCCAGTAAGAATTTGATCCTTTGTTCATTTCATTTTACTGCTGATTACAAACAAGGCACAATTCGACACAGGATTTTCAGAAAGATTGAAACTAAAAGACGATGCTGTGCCAACTATATTGGATCTGACAGTAATGTTGCACCACAAAAGTGTGAGTAGCTGTTTTTATTATGTGGTCACTATTGCTTTGTCTGTTATTACAGATCATTTGATAAGTACTTGCTGTTTCTGTGTTTTTAACCTAAATCACAGCAGCGTCCATCTGTGAAGTCTGTAGGCTGACAAACATACACAACTGTTAGCCAATCATAGCAGGGGGCGTTTACTTCAGAGTCTACAATCCACCACGCCTATTTAAACGGAGCGTTCCGATGAGGGGGTCAAAACAGGGCCGAAATATCCTATTGTAAATTATGATGTTTTTTTTAATGTAAAAATCTTGATAACATAAGTAGACTTCAGAGAACAGTACAAAATATTTTATTGTACGGTTTAATAAAAACTTTTATTGTTCCAAAACACAGCTACCAGTTTCAACAGGATTCTTCATTGCATGGATGGTTTTCAAAAGAGCTAGACAATGAAAATTCTTTGAGGAACTTGAAAAGGTTCGCCTTTGAAATCAGGCTGTATACCCCTTTAGCTTTATTTTTTTTAATTGTGTGTGTGTGTGGTCACCATGTTTTTGGTTTTAATTTTTTTGTATTTGTTGTAATGTTGCAATCTTCAGTACATGAAGTACTGCCAGTTTGTGTTGTCTAATATTGAGTTTTACTCTTTTTTTTGTTTTTTTTTTGTTGGTAGAAATACCACAAACATGCAACCAAATTGTACTTACGAGTTGACAAGTTGTAATTACGACGTCAGGTGCATTCAAGTCAGTTTAGTCGGCACAAGATGGCGGTGTACATTCTTTTAATAAATTACAAGACAATACAACAGGGTCTGCATTTTTTTTACTCTGATTTCATTAACTAGCTGCGTAACAAGAACATGACCAATTTAAGTTTATAGGACAACTAAACTATCAATTTAAACAAATTTACCGTCAACTACAGACGTTGCATCCATCGATTCCGCCATGTTTCTCATTGACACGCCCCCAACTCGGAAACTCAGGGCTTAAAGAAAATTTCGCATTTCCCACTCGTAATAACGACTTTGTGGTGGCGTTCATGTGCGTTCAACTCGTAAATACGATCTATCCAACATGACTTGAACAACAACAACAATAACATACCACTGCTCTGCATATTTAGCATGTCTCTCTTATTTAACACACCTGATTCAGATAATCAGCTCGTTAGAAGAGAGCTCCATGCATGAACTGTGTTCTGATTGACATGGTCCCTACACAGTGTTCATTACTCCCTACTCACTCCACGAGGACTGGAATTGAGAACCCTTGCATTAGAGCGTGATCCCACAGTTGCATGGGAGGTTTTATAAAGAGCTAGAAAATGAAAATTCTTTGAGGAACTTGAAAAGATTCTCCTATGACATCAGGCTGTAAAACCCCTTTGGCTTTATTTTTAATTGTGAGTTTTTGTGTATGTTTTTTGTCATCCTATTTGTTTTCTTTTTAATTTTTTTGTATTTGTTTCAATGTTGCAATCTTCATTACATGAAGTACTGCTAATCTTGTCTAATATTGGGCTGTATTTAAAGTTTGTAGTATGCAAATATGCATAAGAACAAGATCCATCACCATAAACTGCTAAAGTGTACATCGTTTTTTTTCCTCTCTTTTCTGCAGGGCTGTTGCTGTACACTGATATTTGCTTGTCTGTTGCATTTGTAGTAAAATATACAGATGCTTTGTCACATGGTTCGAGTAGCTTTCAACCTCATTCTTGAAATGAATGTCTTTGTTACCATTGTAACACATCCTTACAGTCCTCACTTGTCTTTTCTGCTGTTACGTGCATTAATTATTTGTAGTATGAATCAAGATTCTCAATTTTAATCAATGGATTGGATTCCGTATACTGAGTCTGACTCACAGCAGTGAAAACAGTATCAGTTGGGATCATTTGCATGGAACAGTTTGCATGATTCAAGGAAGATGTGACTAGCCGAGGGCCACGTGTTTTCTTTATGTTACCAAGGTAAATCAGTTTTTTTGGACCGCCATTGTCACAAGGCCGTCAAAGTGTGAGATGAGTCACTTTAAGGGAAGTGTGCTAGCCA